TACACCAGAAACTAACAACATTGTAAATCAACTCTACATCAATAAAATTAACTTGCCACACCCTCAACCCAACTACACTGATGCCTGCTGAAATCCCAAAGGTAATACATTCCTACCTTAACCAGGTTTATCCCTATAGGCCTGATATGACAGATCAAGACATTGACATTCCTGAGGAAGAATGGTTTACTGATGGTAGTTCATTAAGGACGGGCTCAGGAGGGCAGAGCCTCAGAGGTGAAAACTTTGTGCTGCCCATGGCAGCCCAGAAGGCCGAACTCTAACCCAAGCCTTAACCCTAGGGGAAGGAAAAATTATAAACATATACACAGGCTCTAAATATGCCTACCTCATTTTACATGCCAATGGAGCTATATGGAAAGAGGACTTGAATGCAGAATATTCCCCTGTAAAGTATGGGGCTGAGATCTCACAGAGGCAGCTCAAAAACCAAACAAATCAAGTAACAGTCATTCACTGCCATGGACACCAAAAGGGAATCTCCCAAATTATCAAAGGGAGCAACAGGGCAGATGGAGAAGCAGAGAAAGCAGTCCTGTTACAACAAATGACATTAATCCCATCCCTTACCCCTTATAACATGCCCAGGTACTCCTAAGGAAACCTGGGCGCAAGAAAAAGGGTGAGTTAAGGGAACAGAAGGCTGGTGGCGCATCAAAAATTGCTTTTTCTGACCAATGGAAAATTAAAGGCCTATGATTTTTCTCCATCTGGTGAAGGATACTGTGTCTACAGTGGTTTTCTGGCTTTTAACGAGAAAATGACTCCCAGATATGATCAAAGGGTTACTTGAGCCTGTGCCCTCTGTGCCACCCATAAATAAGGAGGCCATCTCAACCCACCCCCCATTTTGTGAGCCCAGTCCAGCAACGTGGGCCTTAGCCAGGAGAGGACTGGCAAATGGATTTCACTCAGATGGCCTCTTTCCAGGACTTCAAATATTAGTCTTTGTGGGTAGTTTTACTGGATGGGTGGAGGCCTTTCCCACTAGGACAGAAAAGGCAACTGAAGTGGCTAGAGCGCTTCTGAAGGAAATTATCCCTAGGTTTGGGTTGCCCTGACACTTCCAGATTGACAGTGGACCCTCAATTCATAGCAAAGGTTACCCAAAAGACCCTAGGAAATAGACACTACCTTTATTTGTCCTGCAGACCTCAGTCTTCAGGAAAGGTGGAACAGACCAATCATACCCTAAAGAAAACCTTGGGTAAGCTCTTATCAGGAAATATCAGAACCTGATAATAGGTGGTGCTACCTGCTGCCAGCAACTCTTAAGGGTCGGGGCAGCCCCTAAAACAACTAGGTTGATAAGCCCCTTTGAAATGACATATGGTAGGCTATAACTCACCCTGGACATGGTAACTGGCTGAGAAACCTAGGCACACCTTAAATTATTATCCTGGGAAAGGTCCGAAGGGGGCTATTCAAGGAAACAGTTCAGCTCTCCCCAGATAACAGCCCCAGTTACTCCAGTGTAAACTCTGGGTACTGGGTGCTCTTAAAGACCTGGAAAAATGAGTCCCCTGGTGACCAGCTACTCCCAAAGCAAAAGAGTCTCAAGTTTTGCTAAGCACCCCTACAGCAGTTAAACTTCATGGAGTCACTAGTTGGGTCCATCTACCCAGAATTAAACCTGTTAACACTGATCTGTTACAGGAACCTGAAGACCCACATCCTAGCTATTCCCGTGAACCTGCCCAAGACCTCAAATACCTCTTCAAGAAGGTGATCCCCAAGCCAGTGACAACTGCATTGATAAGTAAACTCTCACTTTGACATTAATTTCTTTGGGGCTCTCTGGGTAACAAAAGCAAGGTAAGTGACAGTAGGCTGGGAGCCCATATTTGCTACTGGGATCTTGTTTACTGCTACTGGGCTCTTGTTTAACACTACTTGCATTCCGGTTGCTTCCTAAATTAGAACTCTGATTGATGTCATTATGAAGTTATTAGTCACCCTAACTTTTCTCCCCCTCCTTTGGGGATTCATGTCAGGGGAGTGAGGATCCAATGCAATAGTAAATCTCTCAAGAATTTTTCCTCAGGGAGAGAATCTGTCTCAGTGCTGGGTTCTACCATCCCAATCCTCAAAGCGACGCCTATAAGCTGAAAGAACTAAGCTACACATCCAGTAATGATGACCTTGAACTTACTCTGGCTGAAGGTCCTGTGACCCCTGCTCCCCTCAGAGTCCACATTCCAGCCCTTGGCACAGCTTCCATGCCTGGACCTGACCCCTCTCGTTAGTGCATCCAGCACACAAAGCTCCCCCCATCAAAGCATATTGTCTGTCATAAAGGTAATTCATCTTGCTGCCCATGCCAGAAGCCTGGACTAAATTCTGCAATGCACCAGCAGTTGACATCACCGCCGTTACCCCTAATTTTAATTGCGAAGACCAGACAGGCAACGCCACCCATTGGTTCCTCCAAGATCAGCTGGCTGGTGGGATGTGTCTCCTGGACAGGTCTGGCGCCAAGCGTCTAACACACATCTTCCCTGCGTGTAGTACATGTTTTTTGCCTCCCAAAGCCTTCGAAAAGACTCATACACCCTTATTCAGTGGCGGGATCATTTCTTCCAACTGTACTGGAACCCCCCCCTCCTTGGGCAGACTACTGAAGTGGTTTAATTCCACAACAGTATGTCAGGCATGTACCCCTCCCAGACATCTATTCCTTTATGGTCCAGGTGCAAACTGACTGTCCTCTTCAAAAAACCCCAATTCCTCTTT